TGACTATTTTTAAAAGGCAGCACATGGAGAAGATTCATGGTACTTTGGATTTTCTAAATCTGCTGTTGGAAATAGTCAGGCTACTTCACCTTGTTGGTCAGCCAACAATATGAATACCAGCAAAATGCAGAGAATGCAACACAACCAAGGTTTTTCCATCAGAACTTCAGACTGCCAAGTGTTTCTTATACAGGCATTTACACTTATTTGTACCTGCTGTGTAGACAGATGAGCTAACTTATTCAAATGATGATGTAAGCCATATTAAAAGATTTTTAAAAACTCTTTATTATTCCTCTTCTGTCCATTCTAATATCGCTTTATTGCACTAAGGAAAAAATCTGTGAATACTGTGTCTCTAGGGGTTCCAAGAGAATAGTATATTTTTAATACCAGTATTTGTTTTATCCAAAGGTCTAAATTGAGAACAAAAATTATTCATGGTATACCAAATAATATACCAGTTGTTCAAATTTTTAGAATGTAGAATAGAATTTATTACATGAAGCAAAAGCGCTCTAAAAAGACTAACCTCAGAGAATGTATGGGATACTGTTGACATCACCAAACTGTCCTTAAATGCCTATTACCTTTTTTTCTTTCTCTATTCCTTCACTCACTTCCCATAATGTTATCATTTCAATCATTTCACCTTGAAACTGCATCTAAATTAGTGCATGGATCAGTAGGTCATACACACAATGACCTTTCCAAAGAACATTGATATCTGACATAAAGATACTGTGCAGTCTAGTTGCAGTGCACATTTTATTCTTAGCAAAATATCAACGTTCAGCAAGCCTTTACATTGAAAAGAACCGATTTGTGATGCTCAGAACAACAGATGTTAGTTTGCTATTACATTAAAAACAGAACATAAAAGAGAAAGCTATTTGCTTGGATCGTATGCTGTGAGTTTATCATCTGCTCCTGCTTGGCATGTTTGGGTCTAAATGAAGCAAATTGAGTTTCCAAAGGGAATATGCACTAATGTCACATAGCCAGAGCACTTGTGTTTCCTCCCTGAAGCCTCCATCTATCATAAAACAAGTCAAATATTCACATTGCCTCTGAAGTAAGAAGACCAAAAAGAATGAGTGTCATTTGCCAGTTATTAAGGGCATGAGTGAGATGCTGAAGAGAAGAGGCTGAGTGCTGACAATGGAGGGTGAGGGAAGGTGTTTGCAGCACTCAGATTGCAGTGAGTCATCTTGTCACTTTTCAACCGAATTAATTTAATTACTGTCTCCCAACAGCGCGTATCGCTCCTAACCTTGAGTGGCTGCTGATGAAAGGTCTGTGTCACAGATGACTCCACTAGATGAGCACTATTCTGTTCTCTGCTGGTGATTTGCCTCAGGTGAAAAATAAGATCACTCCATTTCCCCATTGATTTCTGCAGAAGAAAATGCTTCCTCTCAACCCACACTGTATTATTATTTCGTTATCACTTTCCATGGAACTGCACTTTCTCTACCACAAAAAAAAAAAAAAAGAAAAAGAAAAAAGAAAAAAAAGTTTCAAACCTTTACCCATGCCTAGAGGTAGAAACTACAATCCAATTATCTACCTGATAGAAACATTTATACTGCATCTTCAAAAGGAAAAGAAATTGTTTTAAAAATACAATGTCATTACCATTAATTAGTGTGTAATTTCAAGTTTACATAGGATCCCTGGGCTGCTATGCCGGCTCTTCTTCAGGGGCACACTGAGACAGCAAATGAGACTAGGCGTGGTGGTGTCCCCGTGCTTGGGAGGCTGAAAACAGGAGGATCACTATGTGTCCAATCTGTGTAATGAGACCCTGTAGCCCTTGTTCTAAATACATAAAAAATAAAAGAATACAGTTTACATAGGAAATGTATAATCATTAGAATATGAAATTTAGGAAAGAGTAATTTTTTACCCCAAGTTTAAATTTTTTTGTTAAAAATCTGTTTTTAAACTTTCATGTTCTGTTAATGATTTATAAATAAACAGAATTTTTGATCTATGAACCTCATAAAACACTATTAATTAAATTAATTTCTTTTTGCAGATTGAAATTATTCTTCCTTTATTCCTGAAACAAACAAAAAAAGAGATTAAATACATACTATTACTTCAGAAATTTTGGTTATAAGAACCAATCATTGAAAGGTTTATTTACATACAACTAATGTGCTTTATCTAACAATGAGTTAAAAAGTAACACTTATTTGCAATTTATTCAATTCTCTTCTGAAAGCCACAGAATCATAGCTATTCAATTAATCTTGTGGAAAGAGCTGTATTAAATAAATTAAGTTGGTATTTCAATAAAAATGATAGCTATGATTACTTCCTTCAGTCTCCAACGTTTATTGAAATGACTGAAAAAAAATGTGAATTAAATTCAATCTATAGGTCAGTCAAATAGCTTAGCAGATTAAAGTGCCTGCTTAAGCAGACATAAAGGCCAGGAGTTCAGTCCCCAGGCCTGCCATGCTGGCCTCCCACTGAGGCATGCTGAGATGGCAATTGAGACTGGGTGTGGTGGTACATGCCTGTAATTCCAGCACTTGGGAGGCTGTAAACAAGAGGATCACTATGAGTCTGATCTATGCAGTGAGACCCTGTACATCCTATGGAAAAAAAAAAAAAAAAAAAAAAACCTAATAAAAGGTTAAATATAAGGATACACCTAGCACAGAGAAGAGCCTTTTACGGCTCGTGTCTGATGATGTCCCCAAAGCCTTGTGCAGCCAAGGGCAAGGTTTGCTTTCAGCTCTTTCCCTTTTGCTAATGCTTCTTTGGCTGTTTTCCACTGCCATGGACTGCTATCCTCTGCCAGGTTCCACTGTGCCTTGGAGTATGGACTGAAAAAAGCTCCACAGACTGCAAGCTAATTAAACCTTTCCTTCCTTAATTTTGGGAATCAGGGAGAATTTTCTCCCAGAAATAAGAGGAAAGTAACCAAGACAAGTCTATAGAAATTATAGAAGACAGTAGATACATGAGACCAACTCATAGAGTACTGTGATGATAGTGAAACTAAAATAAAAGTCAACCAGTATATACAGTTGGCAGATCAAAAAGAAGCAGGGCAAGAAAAAGGGGCAGACAGTAATGTAAATAAAAATTAATTGGGGAACAATGGCATTGTAATGACCTAAGGTACCAACAGGAAATAACAATAATGTTTCAGCTTCAGCTACAAATGTAAATTACTCTGTTGGCCAGAAAAGGTATAATACAGAGAGTTAAGTGTTTAGAAGATGTGGAAAATGCACGCTCTTATGCCAGAAACTGTCAATAGTCAGTCATCCTTGTCTACAGCTGCATCTTCAAATGTAACGCTTGGGGCCGGCGAGATAGTTCAGTGGTCTAAAGCACCTGCTTAGGCAAGCTTAGGCAGGCACAGGGACTGTGGTTTGATCCCAGCCCCATATGCTGCATCAGCCCAGCCCTCAGGGTGGGCTAAGCAGGCAAAAAAAAAAAAGTAACAGTAGTCCTTTTGTTTTGCTTGAATTGGAGACATTTGCATGAAATAAACTGATAGGTCTGTCAGAAATAAATATTTACCTTAGTTCTTAATCCTAAATCATCAATATAAGAGTTTTATTCTTAGAATGAATTTATTTTTAAATTTGAATATATTGCTCTCTGTGATAACCTAGAAGAACTGTGGCTTTCATTAAACTCTTCATAGTAAACGACATGTAGCTTTTTATTGGCTTAAGGTGCTTCTCAGTTACTTTTCTCTCATTGCTGGGACAAAATACCCGAAGCCCAAAATTAAAGAAGTAAAGGTTTATTTAGCTCACAGTTAATGGAAGGTTTAGTCCATGCTCAGCTGGCTGTTAGGCAGAGCAGCACATGGAAGAGGGCAGCAGTTCCTGGAAGCAGAAGACAACAAGGAGCAAAGGCAGGGGAAGCAGATCTCTCTCTCTTCCTTACATTGTAATATGGATTACTCACCCCAGGGAAGAAGTAGCACTCACACCCATAATCCCCACACTGGATCATGAATTACTTACTGTGAAAGCTGCCCCCAGTGACTCCATGATGCTTTGCAGGGACACCTAGGTGCAAGCCATAGCAGGGAAGCTAGTAAAAAGCAGAGACAGTTGCCTGTTGCATGTTTAATAATAAGCTATGACCATTCTTGTTAACTGCAACACTAGAATATTTTGTTATCTATTAAATCTTTTGCTGAGAGTAATAAATCTAAGGAAAGTGTTTTTAAAATTCTTCATAAAAATTTTAAAGATCAGTATGGCAAAATGTCAGGAAGCCTAAGACTAATAGCAAAATGCATTCAGGACAGTAAATTTATAATTTAAATTTATAATATATATTTTTTCTCAAGGCATTTGGAAATAACCCAAACACATACAATAACAGAATATTAAGGAAACTTATAGGACTAGAGAGTATTTAGGATTTAGAATTTAGCTATAGATGTGGTTCTGCAAAGGACCATAAACATTTAATTATAACTCAAAATCACTATTCCCTAAAACTATGAGTAAAGCTGATACACACCAGACATCTGTCGACCTGAAGACAGAGCACACTCATTTGAATTCATGATCGCATTCAGGCAATTTGAAAGGCTGGCTTCTTAACCTACCTGACATTAAACTAAGCCCCCTCAGAAGACAGATATCATCAACCAGACAATCAAACAAACTCTATAATTTTCGATACCTTGTGTCTGGTATTTAATGAAAATACCAGGCATAATATGTACAACAGTGAATTAGAAAGAAAAGAAAACTCATGTGAAAAACAGACCCTAGCAAATCTAGAAAATGCTTTTATTAGTCAAGAAATTTCAAATAAAACATATGATTAACATATTTATAGAATTAAAGTCCAAAATAGAGGATTTCTTTATTGCTACATGTGTACATTACACAGCCTTCACACTCTTCCTTGAGAATTTGTACATGGATATAATATATATCCATTTTCCCCCTTCCCCACTCCTTCCCTTCTTCTCTTCCCATTTGCAAAAGCTCTGCTGCCATCTCAAAAATATAGAAACTTCAGGAATTTGCATGCTACACTCATGTGGGGGCTGTGCTAATCCTTTCTGTGTTGTTCCAATTTTAGCATTTGTGCTGCCAAATCAAGCACAAAAATAGGAAAGTTTGAAATGGACAACAACTATAAAAATTAATCAAGTAAAAAATATAAAACTAAAAAATATTCAAAATAAAATCAGGTCAAGATTCACAACACTAAATCAGAGGAATTTAATAAAACTATAGAAAAATCATGAAGATTTGAGACATTCTGAATACAATTAACCATTTATAGCTGTGGGCCCACAAAGAAAGGATAAAAAATAAGTCATAGAAATAGTTGGGTGATAGTGACAGAATTTTCTGAAACTGAAAACAGACAATAAGTGTTCAAGACATAGTGTAAACCTCAAGCGTAGTACATATAAAACATGAATGAATGTCTACTCACATCATGGTAAAACTGCTGAAAACTGAACATAAGCGAGAAAAAAATGGTAAGATCACCGGAGAAAAGATGTCACATTGTGTACATGGAGTAATTGTAAGAATGACAGCTAAATTCAACAGAAAGTTTTAAAAGGTGATAAAGCAAAAAAAAAAAAAAAAAAAAAAAAAAAGAACCTGAAGATGCAGGATGATATAGTCAAAGCACTGAAAGAAAATAACTGAAGAAAATTTCTGCCTTTGTCACCTCAAACTCATACTGTAGATAATATTAAAGTTCTGTAACCACCAGAAAGCGAGTGATTGCAGTGGGAGTTTAGGCATTGGAGTGCATGAACAGAAGCAGAAATGCTAATTAGATGGGAGATCTAAGTGAATACTGGCTAAATAACAACAGCAGTAATGGCTTGGGAGGTTTAAAATATCTATAGAGTGAAAATATTTGATCACAATGTCACAGGATCGTGAGTCAGAAGCAGTATAATTATATGGTGTTAAAATATTCTAAACATCCTCACTATCTGACAAGGGATATAAAGTATTCTTATGCTACAGTTTACAACTTATGTTACAAATTTTACTTTCTAGGACATTATTAAAGATCTATAAAATCAAGTAAACTAATGAACTCATCAGAAAAAAATGGAGTAATGCTCATAATTTTTTAATATACTTAATTCTAAGGAAAGGAAATAAAATGAGCAAAAGTTTTATGGAGAAGGAGTGGATAGATTTACATCTTTCACATAAAATTATGAGAGCACATAAAACAAATTTTGCTAATCCATACATAAAAACAAGTCATCAGACCGTGTTAAATATACCAAAAAAGCCCTGACTGATCTATCTATTTATCTATCTATCCATCTATCTATCTATCTATCTATCTATCTATCTACCTATCTAGCTATCATCTATCTATCCATCCACCCATCTAGAGTCAAAAGAGCTGAAGGAAAAATACAAACGATAATTCTAAAGTTATATATGCAAGATTACAGTGGGTTGAATATTTAAAAACATATGGTTGAAACACAAATAGCAGAGATTGAATATACTATTCTGAGCAACTAATTGTAACAAACAATGCCCACTGACAGAAAACAACAGCTTATTTTAACAGAAATAATTCATTAAAGTTAATTTGTTTGCACTGTTACTGAAAGACAAAAGTGCAAATAAAAAGGACATTGAGGTAACATTTAGGTGCTATGTGCAGTAAACAAGTTTAAGGATACAAAATCAGACCAGAAAAGCAAGGGTTTTAAGAACTTAAAACTATAGAGAATTTAGAGAGGGACCTGGAGGAGCTGGCTTTAAAATTAGAAGGAGAAAGCTCCACCAAGTTTGTAGTAGATTAGAAGAAAGAATTCACAGAATTGAGGCCCACATTCAGGACAGTGTTGTTCAGTGGTGGCAGTTGTCTCAGATGCTTTGAGGAAGGATTGGGAGATGCTGGACAACCTTTCCTAGGAGAACAGAGCCTGACTGCAGCAGGAATTGTGGCAGCAGAAGGCAGTGGTTGGCTCTGAGAGTGTGGGAAAAGGCTAAGCCTGCAACTTGTCACTGTTAGAACAGATTGCAGTCTTGGAGGAAAACCGATGATGCAGTACACTGAAAGGAACAACATACCTCCGTATATTTGGGACTGTTGTCATAGAATATATGAGAGTGGTAGTTTACAAAGGGAAGAGATTTATCTCTGCAGTTGTAGAGGCTAGGGAGTCTACAGTAAGTGTACCCCATTTGCCCAGAGCCTTGTTACTGCATCATGTCACAGTTGATGGTGAAAGAACAAGAGTGGGTTCGTGTGAGGTCTTGCATTCATAACAAACCCACTGTCATAGCAACAACATCAATAAATTCAAAAAGCAGGGTCTGATGACATCATTACTTCTTATTAGGCTCCATCCCACAACACTGCTGCACAGGGGGTCAAATTTCCAACACAGGAAGGCGGGAAACACATTCAAACCATAACCAAGAACATTTCCCATTTTCCTTCTTCTATCTTCCAATTGTCCTTTATTTTATACCTGGGGGGGGTAAAAAAATTGACAAGGACAAAATATTGCTTACAGAGCCTCACCCACATCATAGAACATAGTCCAGAAGGAAGAGGTTGGAGGGAGAAAAGTACTTGGTGACTGAGGCAGTCACGCACTTTAGGTACTCAGCATCCCTGTGTGCACAGTTCTTGGCACCTTAGAGCTTCACACAACCACAGTCGAACCGGGTATAACTGTGAGACGCAGCTACCCTCCAGACAGTCAAGGCCAACCTCATTTTCTCCCTGAAAGTAGGAGGTAGATTCCTACCGGACAGCCATGCTATTCATCTTTTGGAAATATTCATCACTTCTCATATGCAGACATATTTATATCTAAATATGCTATAACTAAATTTTGTGTCAGGGGTAATTACAAAAATCCTTAAATGAAATAAAAAAGTAAGGACTAATTCAGGAAAAAAGAAATTAATGCACATATCAAGGGATAAAATTTGGAAGCCTGCCTTAGGCAATGACTATAATGAGTCAAATACTTGATGTTTATAATTTCTGTCCTATAATTTTAGGGTTCCTAGCTCTTAAGTCAATACCTCAGTTTGCTGGGATTCATTATATTGTGACATGAAGAAGATCTCCACTCGTGAAGGTGATGAACTTTCTGTGGTATGACCACTGTGGAGGTGTGATCACATGCTTAACAGGAAAGTACTACAGTTACACTAGAACATCACCTGCACCACAAAAACTGTTTCTCCTGTTCTACTCCCAGCAGAAATTTCATATTCTCTCAGGTCAAAATTTTTAGTATGGTCTGGTGAATAGCTCAGCTGTCTAAGTGCCTGTCTGGCAAGAGCAAAGACCTGGTTTTGATACCTGGTATCATGCAGGCCACCAAAACTGGTGTAGTGGCACACACCTGCAATCCCAGTGTTGGAGAGGCCAAGACAAGAGGATCACTATGAGTCTGAGCTGCATAGTGAGATCCTGTACCAATTTGGTTTTCTTTTTCTTTGTATTTCAGGGAAGGGTCTACAGGGTGTTCAGGGTCTCACTACTAGATCAGAATCTTAGTGATCTGCCTGTTTATAGTCTCCCAAGAGCTGAGATTATAGGCGCGCGCCACCATGCACAGTCTCATTTGCTATCTCAGTGCACCCTTGGGGTGGGGCCAGCACAGCAGCCCCTGGGATCAAACTCCCACTTTAATCCCCTAAGCTTTATGGCTGGCCTTCCAAATAATTAAAAAAAAATTTTTAGCAAACACATAATTATTTTCAACTTCAGTCATTGCTGCTTCTAGTGTTTGGATAGATCATTCCTATATCCAATCCCTTTTGCAACTGTTCCATTTTATCGGAAAATTAAGTCAAAATTCTTTTCTACTATTAGAAGAAATGGTAGATTGATTTATTTATTTAATTTTACAGGCTTAGGAACAAAAACTGACTAACAGAGTACTGAATCTTTTGATGTCCCAAAGTTTCTTAATGTCAACACCATTATTTTTTGCAATAGCAAGAAATTATAAGAAGTTAAACTTGCAGATATTTTTCTCTTACAAACCATATTAAAGATATATTCATACTTTATTAATATTAAATAATTTTTTAAAAATCTAATAGTAGTCAGTGTGTTAATACATAAAGAAAGAAATAAGAAGTGTATATCTATGTTTAAATAGTAGGCAGCTATTTTAAGGTCTTTATGTTAGAACTTAAAATCTGCATAAATGAATATAATTATTTTCTGTAATGAATATTTAAAGGAAATGTATGGTCTCTAAATCAGAGACAAAAGTAAGATGATCTGCTTGAAAATTTCATTATCATACATGCAGAAAACTGTAAAGATGTTACAAAAACTTTGTCAGAGTTAATAAGCAAATTGAACAAAGTTTCATTTTCAAAATGAATATATGAAAATTACTTATGTTTCTTTCTTTCTTTTTTTTTCAGAACCGACGATTGAACTCAAGCCCTTGCACTTGCCAGGCAGTCACTTATTTTACTCAGCCATCTCTCGAGCCCTATGTTTCTTTATGTCAATAGCAGTTTAAACAAGAAATTATCACAGTTTTTGTATTCAAAAAGAAAAAAGATCAAAAAATAAACTTAACCTAGGAGATAAAAGACAAATACATTAAATCTACAAAATACTAATGGAGAGTTGAAGGAAACATAAATAAAGCAAAACACATCCAGTGTTCATGGATTAGAAAAATTAATGTTAAAATATTCATACTACTCAGAACAATCTACAATGTATGTAATCCCTATTAAAATTTTGTCAGCAAAAACAGGAAAATAATACTAGAAATCATACAGAACCACAAAGGAACCTGAACAGCTAAAAAAATACCAAGAAAATAAAACTAGAAATCTCACAGTTCTTGATTTTGAAATGTTGCACAGATGCAGTAATCAAAGCCATACGACACTAACACAAAGCAGGCATATGGACAGAGGAGATATAAGACGTGCAGTCATAATCCCATACATATATTATCAGATCTTCTTTGGTAAGGTTCCAAGACTGTGCAGAAAAAGAATAAGGCTTTAAACAAGTGATGCTAAGAAAATTGATATTCACTTACAAAATAATATAATGTGGACACTTATCTTAGAGTATATCCAAAAATTAACACAAAATGGAAG